GCAGGGAGTGCACTCCATTCCAAAGGAGTTAGCAAAAACAGGGAGAAAATAGCACCAAATTTACAAAAAAACAAAAATCAAACAGTTGGTACTAGCCACAACAATGAGCTAAGTTAAGCACTTCTATGATAGCAGTGAGGAAGAAATAAGTATAACAGGAAAGCTGCTTAACAATAGCAAACACTAGCACAAACCAATAAGTAAGCAATCAAGCAATCTAGTAGGCAAGCAGAAAGTGAGCCAATTGGATGATGCAAGGGTGCACCTTTTAAATCTCCATCCCTTTCGTTGGTTCTCTGTGTTCCAATTGGTCAGGCCAATGCAGAAAATCATGCAGATCCAGGTCAAGAACTTCAGTTAATATTCAAATCAAGCATCAAAATGAGGAAAAATGTGATCTTAGTGACCTTGACTGTGGCATTAGTGTTGGTGCCAGATGGGCTGCTTCGAGTATTTCAGAAACTGCTGATCTCCTGGGGTTTTCACACACACACACACACTCACACAACAGTTTCTACAGCCACTTTATGTACTTACAACATGGTGCAAAAAATAAAAAACATCCAGTGAGCAGCAGTTCTATTTGCAGAAATGCCTTGTTGATGAGGGAGGTCAGAGGAGAATGGCCAGCCTGGTTCACTCTGACAGAAAGGCTACGATAACTCAAATAACCACTCTTTCCTGAAAAATAAGGTAACTAGAAAAGCATCTCAGAACTCACAGCATGTCGAGGTGAGGTGGATGGGCTACAGCAGAAGACCACATCGAGTTCCACTCCTGTCAGCCAAGAACAGAAATCTGAGGCTACAGTAGGTGCAGACTTGCCAAAAATGTCAGCTGAAGATTGGAAAAACCTCGCCTGTTGTGCGTTCTGAAATGCTTTTCTGCTCGCCTCAGTTAAATAAATAAAGTGGCCGGTGAGTGTACAGTGGGTTTAGAAAGTATTCAGAACCCTTCAGGTTTTATAAAACCTTCAGGTTTTATGCACATTTTCTTGTGTTATATATTTAATTTAGCTTTTGGCCATTGGTGTACACACAATAACCATAATAACAAAATGAAAACATCTCCCATTTAGATAAGTATTCAGATCCTGTACTTTGTCTCTTGGTAATAATTACAGCTGTGAGTATTCTTCGGTACGTTTCTACAAGCTTTGCACGCCTGGATTTGAGCATTTTCTCCCAGTCTTCCCAGCAGATCCTCTCAAGCTATATCGAAATGGATTGGGAATGTCTATGAACTGCCATCATCAGGTCTCTCCACATATGCTCTATTGTTTCAAGCCTGGGCTTTGGCTGACCCACTCAAGGACATTCAGAGACTTGCCCTGAAGCCACTCCAGCATTGTCTTGGCTGTATGCTTCGGGTTGTTGTCGTGCAGAAAGGTGAAACTTTACCCCGGTCTGAGAGTGGGTGCACTGACCATTCTCCCCATCCCTGCTGCTGTTAAGTACCCCCCTAGCATGATGCTGCCACCATCATGCTTCACTGTAGGGATGGTGTTACCAGTTGAAAACCAGCAGTACCTGATTTTCACCAGATATAGTTATTGGTGCCAAAAGAGTTCAGATTTTCTTCAAACCAGAGAATCTCTTTCTTCATGCTCCCACAGTCTTTAAAGTGCTTGACATATGATGGATAGTGATGGCTAGTCTCCACCCTACCAAAAGCATACTGGTGGTGTGAATGTGTGTCTGCATGCCCTGAAATGGACTGGTGTAGCATCCAGGGAGTATTCCCCCCATGCACCCAGTGCTCTCAGGATAAGCTCCAGACCCGCCATGTTAATGTCCTGCAGTGACAAAGTGCTGAATGTTCTACGTACATGTTGAGATACATAACCATTAGGATCAACATAAGAAAAATGGCTATAAAAGGCAAATGTATTAAACACATGTAAGTTAGAACCCTATAGTTTCAGCCTTGCGCTACGATGTCCACTGCTGTGAAACAAAGTAACAAGATAAAATATTTACATTGTGTAACCTTTATAGGACGCCACCTAATGTGACAGATATACATATAAGCCATCTGTAACATCATGTGATACAAACTATCATGGTAGCATTCTGTTGGTTGCCAAATAACTCACCTACAGTATGATAAATGTAGACTTCAATCAGCAGGAGAAAGCTAAAAATGGGAGAAAAGTAAACATTAAGCATATCAAATAGTGGTGAATGGGCTTTTTCGGGCCAATAATTCATACTTGCACTTGTTAAGCAGCGACACGGGAAATGTAGCCTGAACTCATAGGGATTTGGAGCCCATGTGCTTCACTTTCTCAGATCTGGGAAAGCCAACAGTGTGATTTATAATGGGCAGGAAAAATATGTGCACCTCACATAAATCATAAGGCGAAATAGGACTCTATTGCATATGGCACTTTTTAGGCCTACATTCGAGGCGTTTAGGATAGAGGGTGAGAGTGGGAAAGAGAGCGCAAGATGCAAGAGGGAATTTTTATACTTAAGGTCCTAATAACTGGATTTTTTCTTGTCATTTGTGTAACATGATTTGTTGCAGACCTGTAAGTGTGGATGAAATATTGTAGGACTTGGGAGTATGTGTTCCTGTTTTTTCTTACTGCTGAAGTAAAATACTGCACTTCAGGTGTATATCATTCTTATATTATGAAATATAGGACTTGAGAGCAGCAAAGGACTGTTTTTCCCAGCTTACTGGTCTGTGACCTCTACTAAATCATATCACACGCAGCTTGACCAGTGGCACCATCTCTATCTTCCTGCACAATGGAAAATGTGGCCATGAAATACTAATACCGTATGCCCATAAAAACGGAGAAGGATGGAGAGGGGACGTAATCCTTTCAGCAGCGTGAGTTCGTTGCATCAGCATGTAGCCTCGAGTGATGATGAATGTACGGGAACCTTGTAAGCGCTTGTCGCGAGTGTCAGGGATAAGCATGATAAAGTGTCGCCTCCAGAAAGAAAGCATTTAATCAGTGAAAAAAAAATTCACCTGATTGTTTCAGCCACTTCTACTTCAATATGGGTTTTAGGGGACAAGCATAAGGATCATCAGCAGTATCAGTCACTGTCACCTACGGATTCATATTCATGAACAGCAGCTCTGACAATAGTTTGGCTGAAAGTAAAATTACAGCTTTATATTAATGCCCTCGTTCTAATATGTTATCCTTTCTAGAAGTACAACTCTTTCACAGGGACTTGTATGGAGGACGCTCCAAGTGTAACATTAAACAGATTTGAAAACGTTGTTTAACAAAGAAAAACGTATAATTGTTGATATGGTGAAGATTTCTGTAAGTGGACTTTATTTTACATTTATGGAAGCAGTCTTCAGTAGCAGTCAGTAAGTCTTCTGCCATGGGAGAGTCTTCAGGACAGCGGATTTCACACTTCCCAGTTTCTTGGTAACATGACGAGCTGCATTTTTTTTTTTTGTCTAATTAACTAAAAGAGGCAGAAAAAAAGAGTGGCTGGTGAAAGAATGACTGTTTATAGCAGCTTTAACATAAGTGATAACAGGAACTAACTTGTCTAGTGGATGCTCCACAACATTAAATGTAACTATTAATGGATAAACATTACAGCATGTTGTTCATTAATAAATTAAATATTGTAATCATTGGCAAAAGGCTTTGGTGCAAGAGGAATATATAGCAGAATGTCCCATTGTGTTTTATTCCTTAGTTAATTCTGCAACAAACCCTTTACAAACTTTTAAGGGTTCTTTTTGTAAGAGCATGCGTTTATGTAACTGGACGTTACATACTGACATACTGACGTGTTATCATCTTGAAGCCATTTTGAAGCTACTTCTTCACTTGCATGAGGAACTTCATCATTCTTGCTGAACGGTGGAAACACCCTGGCGTGTAAACACTGTGTGTGATTCACGCCTATGATGTCATTATAGTTGTCAGAGATAATCAATGGATCTGAGAACAACACTACTTAAAAGACAGAATAAAATACAAATTTTTACTAGGGTAGTTTTTCTTTTAGTTTCTAAAAAAGAAAGAAAGAAAGAAAGGAAGGAAGAAGGTTAGCTGGGGTTAGATGGTGAGGTGATTTAATGTGTCTGTAGTAAGTCTACAGTTTAGGGTTCCCATCTGTTATGAATCGGACATGATATACACCTTCATCTCCTGGCGCACACTCCACTGACCTGTCTGTGCGTTACGTTAAATTTATATTTCCTCAGAAACAATTTGGCATTCTCAATGCACACACCCACCAACAACCCCCTCCCCGCCCGCCCCCAACACACACACAGACATACACACACAAATCCTACTAATGCCTGGACACATGAATATAAAGTAAGCTTCCACACTGGAAAGTTTACATCCCTTACATGGCTAATAATAATTTTATCCCAGCACTGTTGAAATCTTGAAACTCAATGCACTTGTTTTAATGTTATTGTTTCTATAGTAACAGCTCATGTGCAGGAACTTGTACGGCAGCCTCTCTACGTAATCGAAATCTCATAATAAGCAGACTTAAACATGTATAATCATTGATCTTGCTATTGTGACGTTTTCAGGGCAGAGGCGTCTGAATAAGAGTATGAAAGTATCTAGTAGTGATAGTGAGATGATGATGATGATGATGATGATGCGATTAAATCATTCCATGTAAATAAATAGAAACAAAATAAAAAAAAAATACCTTCATATAGAAGGTATAAGTTGTCTATAAAAGAATGCTAACCATATTTCATAACTTCTCTGCTTGCTAACTAGGCAACATGGCTAGTTAGCATCGGGATTAATAGCATGTTTCTAACAAATGTGGAATACAGGATGGATTGTAGGAACTAATCACTTAAATAAAATAGACGTTATTATTTCCTTACAAATGCTAAATTGAGGTGTTCATATTGCAGAACTATTCGCTCCCCTTTAAACCTTTCCACATTTGGTCATGTTACAAAAATGATTTACACAATATGTCTAATATTTGACGGTGCTAAAATTATTATCTTTATTGTGACAGAAAGGAGGGTCCCTGGAGGACTAGTGGTTAGGCCATGGCATTCTCTGCTGCGGTCCGGGTTCGAGTCCCGGCCAGGGAACCAACGCCAGACACGGGGGTTGCACACAACAGTGCGCTCTCAGTGCCGGTCCCAAGCCCAGATAAAATTGGGGAGGGATGCATCAGGAAGGGCATCCAGCATAAAAACTTCACTTCACTCCCTTACTCAATACTTGTTTGTAGAATCATCTTTTGAAATGGTAGAAAAATGCAGAGAAAAATAACACTATATAAATCTTATGGAGCACAACGGCTGTTTTTTTTTTTTTTTTTTTTCCCGGGGGGGGGGGGGGGGGGGGGGGGGGGGGGTGTTGACTTTGAGTTTCCTTATAGCACATAATTACACTATAATCCCAAAAGTTTATGAGCATCTGACAATCACACCCAAATGTGGGCTTTTCCCCAAACTTTTGCCACAAATTTGGAAGCACACAATTGTATAGAATGGCTTTGTATGCTGTAGCATTTCAATAACCTTTCACTGGAACTAAGAGGCCCAAACATGTTAAAGCATGACAGTGCTCCTGTGCACAAAGTGAGCTCCATGAAGACATGGTTTGCCAAAAGTGGAGTGGAAGAACTTGAATGGCCTGCACCGAGCCCTGATCTCAACCCCACTGAACACCTTTAGGATGAACTGGAACGTCGACTGCACCCCAAACCTCCTCACCCAACATCAGTGCCTGACCTCACTGCTCTTATATGCTCTTATAGCTGAATGAACACAGATCCCCACAGCCACACTTCAAAATCTAATGGAGAAGAGTGGAGGTTACTAGAACAGCAAAGGGAAACTAAATCTGGAATGGGATGTTCAAAAAGCACATATGGGCGTGATGTTCTAGTGTCCAAAATCTAGTGGCCACGTAGTGTATATGAAAGTGTGACCTGTACTCAAAAGTTTAGGAATAAATGCTAATCTATTTCCATGCTGTAGTCAGAGCCATTCAACTCAGCAGAGGACCACAGAAATGAGAGATCTCTTCTCTCATCCCAGCGATTGTAATTATTAATTTGTTAATGGAAAACAGCTCATGTTTTTTTTTTTTTTACTGTTTAATGTTGTGGAACAACTGCAAGAAAAGTTAGCTCCTGTTATCACTTACGTTATAGCAGCTGTAAACAGACACTTTGAAATGTGTGTGCCAAAAAAAAGCTTGTCATGTTACCAAGAAACCAGAAAGCACAAATCCCTCAGACCTGAAAACTCTCCTGTGGCGGAAAACATAATAACTGTTACAAAGCACAGACATCCGAGACTCCTTCCATAAATATAGCATAAACATTTCCATATCAATGATATCAATAATTATAGGAAATGAATCCACACCTTCAGATTCAAGAAGTCAACAGTACTGTGGGAAGATCAAATTAAAGCAGCTTTTCTAACTCTAGTTACGCTATTTCTCTCTCTCTCTCTCTCTCTCTCTCTCTCTCTCTCTCTCTTTCTCTCTCTCTCATGTTAGTAGTCAAGCAATGAAGCAGAATTGGTAGTGGCATTGCCAGAACCCATTCGTCAAGCCTTCTTAGGGCCAGTGAGCCTCCTGATGCCAGCAGCTCATGTTCTAGGCTGTGCGCCAGGCACTCATGGTGCTGGGCACGACGCCAGGCCTCCAAGCCTCCATCAGCCAGATGCCATGTCGGGGCAGCCTATCAGCATGGGCATAGTGCAGCCACATTCTACCGGCTAGTCAAGTAGACCTTTACGCACATGAACACACACACACACACACACACACACGGACACACTTTTTTGCATTACTTGTATACATTTACACTTATGGCGACGTATCCATAGCGATTTACAGTAGTGCTTTGTGGTCTCCATCAGAAACATCTCCTCATGTTAGTTCACTAGGTCAGGGTCTAACAATACCACTGAGCTTAACTCCTGTTAGTGGGTGGATATTATAACATGAAAAGAAAACACAAGTCAAGGCATTCTGTAAATAAATTAAATAAGTACTTTCGTTACTTCTTTGGTAGTACTCGTATTACTTAATTATCCTTTCCATTTACGTACATCAAAATCAGCTAAGCCTGTCCCCAAATGCAGCCTTCAAATTAACCAAACGAAATTAGTTGGCTTTTTCATGTAAAATGCTATTTTACTCACTTGGAGGGAAATTAAAAACCCTTCTCCTTAACATCATTCACATTTTCCTATCATTGTCCCATCATTGTGGTACTCAAACACTTACTATACGAGGATCTGTAGTCTGTTTGCAATCACGGAACTAATTTACGGAATGAATGCACAAGCATGTACCACACACACACACACACACACACACACACACACACACACACACACACACACACAATGTGTTCAAATGTGTCAACTGGGTGGTCATGCACATCAGACACCTTTTCCTATTGTGAGGCCTTTCACAAAGCAAGTAAACAGACTAACAGACTATGCCTTCTCTCGTCCTCTCTCTCTGTATATCTGTTTTTGCAAGCTCAGAACACGTAAAGAATCGAGAACAAGCATGTGAACAATACACACAAGACACACACTGTAATTTGAAATGAACTTATGCACTCACAAAGTTACTAAAGATAGATGGAAAAAAGTCCACACAAGCTCACACAGAAAAGAGACAGAGAGACAGAGAGAGAGAGAGAGAGAGAGAAATTAAATGTTCATTTATGAACATCTGCAAAAGCAACATCTGGTAGGTTACACTTTCTATTTTTCCATTTGCACATGATTCATATTAAGGGACCGAATTAGGGCTTGAACTATTTTGAATTGTAATATGATTAAATGGGTGTAAGTGTTTAATTTGGAGGCATTATGGGATTCTAATTAATTCAGCTAATTAAGTGTGCAATAAATACTGCCCATTTTCAGTTCCATATGCGTGCGGTAAGTTCCCGAGATTCCTCGCTGTTTTGATTGAAACATGTTTGATTTTATGGAAAGCCGCACACACAATATGATTTATGGTTCGGCCGGAATAGGAATCATAGACACAAAGAAATCACAGAATCGTGAAATTAAATGAGGGTGAAGAATTTCCGTCCAAAAGGACTGTTGACTTTAATCAGCTCTCTATGAAGGCCAAACCACTTAGGATTTAGTGAATTTCTCAGTGTGGAAGCTGACTGTATCGCCAAAAAAGTACAAAATGTATTATTTCCACTGATATTTTTTACTGACCTCTTATTTTAATGATCCTGCTTTTTTTTTTTTTTTTACTTATTCAAAGTCTGATCAAGAAAACATTAAAATGCACATAAAACCAGGAGGTTCTGTTTATATTGAGTGTTTCAGTGGTTCTGATAGTGATGTGATGTAGAATTATTATGTAATGCTGCAATAACGCATAACAGTGTAGTTATTATGCAGCCTTTAAAAAGAGCCTAACAGTAAAGATTTTTATTGTCCCATATTGTCACATCACTACTTGTTTCATTGCCTGTCATAACAGTGGAATAAAATACAGCCTAATATTAATCCATATAATGCTTTTTTTTTTTTTGTCCTAATTTATTGGAAAGCCTATTAAATATCATTGCATTCACAGCTGTCACAATTCACAAATCCTGCAAATCCTGCATCAATTGGAATAAATCACATTTACTAGTTTAAAATATTTCAAATGTAGAAATATCGTTAAAAAAAGAAATCCAGAAAAATCTACCATCTCTTCACCATAACTTCATTTACGCTTTATAATTTATACTGTTCGTTGTTGTTGTTGTTGTTGTTGTTGTTGTTTGTGTTTTGCAGCGCACACAATTTGTATCTTGAGACAAATCTTTGAATGTAGGCCGTAATATAGTAAATATTAAATTGACAAATCTAGTTAATGAATATCTAATATAATTACTACTGGATATGGACAGGAGATTGTGTATAATACTGCTTTAAAATGTATTTATTCTAATTGTATATTCAAATTCCTCAGCGCCTTCATTTCCCTCCGTTCCCTTTTCTCCTCCCTCTCGCAACACGTCTCAGTAAATTATGTAGGATGTTGTTAGGAGTCTGGAAAGTGGGTCAGGCCTGTTTTTCAGAGGGAAAATCAATTAGTCATGAGCTCGAAACGGTTACTTGGAATCTAGCGAAACATGACAGGAGAGAAATTCAGCACCTGCGACTCATAATTCATATTTCATAAAAGGCTGCTAAGTCAGTCAATACCCGAGCAAAATTATTTTAACACCCTGCGCTAATACTAAAGCGACCCCCGGCGAGTTTGAGGCCATGCCACGTTTACTCCAAATTCAATTAGAAAACAAGTAGAAAAATGTTCAACATACACGTTCACGTGATACATTGCTGTTTATGTATTTGCAATCATTTAGTAAAGAACTATGGCACTGATTTAGTACTCCTGAGGCACTTTTATGGCTTTTCATTTGTGCAGCCCATATTTTATACAGGGGTCGTGTAATGTGATTCGGGTTCAGTTCCGTGCTCACTTACACAGAAGAGGTCAACACACTCCTGACTGTAGCGATAAATACCGAGCATGTTTGAAATAGGAACGTTAGAGCATAAATATGAACGTTCCAACATTAAAAAATGAAACTTTGCAGCTTATATTAGAAAGAATAATATATTGCAATGCATGCCTGGTCACATATCGGGTCATTCCACGATTGGGGTGCCATTGTGTTTCACCGATATTATATTTATAATATGTATGTAATGTAAACGTAAAAGCGATAGTTAAAAAAAAAACCCTATGCAAATATTTCAGATAAATAACTTAAAATATTCTATTTGAAATATAATCATTCAAAATATTTGCCCTAATGTGTGAACGCCTTTTATCTCATGCTTGAAAGATCCTTTTCCGTGAGTCTTCCATTATAGTTTATTGCAAATATCCATTTTAGACCCCAACAACAGCAAGATCACTGTTATCTGAAGACATTGTCGTCTATGAAAAACACAGTGTCCTTTATGAAATTTTTGGTATATTCAACAAGGACTTGCATCATCCAAATTTCCCGATGCTCACAGAAAGAAGAAAGTATCTTTATTTTTATTGCCATTGCAATATTGACTGAAATGAATGTCAA